GTTTAAGTCAGCAGTCCACAGTCAAACTTATAATCTTTCTGTTACGATAAAGCTGACGCGATGTAACATTCATGTTAGTCAGCAGTCCACAGTCAAACTTATAACATTCCTGTTACAATAAAGCTGACGCGATGTAACCATTTGGCTATGTATGTTATTCATTTAAATAATAATTCAATAAGACAAAATTCTGTATTAGATAAAATTGTGTACTTTAAACGCATAATATTATAATGTTTTATGAACATTCCAAAGAACTTTTTTTTTCCTTTTTATGTTCATCTTCTTTTTTTTTTGGCATCACGGTAGAATTTTATCTTAAATTATTTAATTTAAAAGTTTAAAACAAAGAAATCTTAAATATTATTAAAACGGCATTGGCTTTGCTTTATTCTCAGGATTAGTTTAATATTTTCTTCAACTAATTTTTTTTTTTTTTTGCTGTATCATTATAAACAGTATTGAAAAGTAATACTTCACACAATATCACTTTGACTTAATTAGTATGTTACTGCTTCTTATGATGTGAATTAATGACATATACTTGTGTTAGATGATAGCGAAACATTTAAACGTGCCTGCGAGTTTGCTTGTTATTTTATTATTTTGTCGGAATGACTTTTGTACCATTGGCATGTTTGACAAAGTATGAATTTAGCCTTGACTGGTAGCATGCCTCAGGCATAACACATGTACGTACAATCTTATTTTAGATTTTATTTGTCTTTTTTACATTGACCTTCCCATGTTTATGCCATAAATTATCAAAAAGTGCATTTGTCTTTCAACAAATAAACGTGTTAAAATAATAATCCGCTAGAAGAAATGAATGACTCTATATATGTGAAAGTGCTTCAAAACAAACAAGAAGCGGTAATAAGACATGTAACAGTTGATTCCCATCTAAGTTTTATGTAATGTCAAAATTGATCTTGAACAAATCCAGATTTTAAAATTAAATCTTTTAAGTGATGTAGAAAACAATATTGGTAAAATGATAATTAAAACAACAATAATATTATACTTATGATTGGTAAATACAAAAATACAAACATTTTTTAACTATTTTGTTTTTAATGCACTTCCTTTTTTCCTCCTATTAAATGTAAGTGATTATAAAACAAAATAAAAAAATATGAAATAAATGAGTGTATGAAGAATTTTATAAAAATCCCAAGAAATATGATATGTTGATTAATCCTCCTTAAACCAAAATATAAATAGTGCATGAACCATTAAAATTATGCGAGTATGTGAATTGCCCTTATACTGTTGATAAAACAAAATGCGCAATGCCTATTTGTGTACATTTTCTTTTGAAAAAAATATAGAAGATACCAAGGGGACTATAAAAAATGATTAAAAACCAACAACCACATGGCCAAATAGAATAATTACGAAAAGAACAATCCTCCTCCATTAGTGGCACCCTTCGTGCTCTCATGGCAAGTCAAATAAAATCGGTGTTATCAACGTCTCGCAATTTTAGAAAGCAAAGTTATGATAAATTAACAAATACGCACGAAATTTAGTAAGTGTTATTTTCTTTGTATATGCATGCTTATAATTTTACCAGAGCAAGAAGGTACCCTTCTAATAGTAAACTCTGAACATTTTGAACCCCGTGGTAAATTGACGAGTAACAAATGAAGTGAAAGAGTGCGTTATACGTTCCGTATGCCAAGTTAAATGGTGACTCGTGCCGTATCCTTGTAAAGGTCCATGTATTCTATCATTGCAAACGTCACAGCACTTATGCAATATTATTCTTTGTATGGATATATAGTACAATACTTTGAAAAGACGTCCAAGTTCACTATAAATATGACCACATAATCACAGTTTATATACGGGGAAATGTTCGTCATATGTTGGTGATGATAATAAAGGAAACATGGATAAACTTTTTTTAATTTTTTTTTCTTGATTGCTTCCATGTTTTGAATATCTAATCTGAATTTTAAATCCAGTTTCGTCTCGTCTGTAGACGGAATATTTTTAATTCATGAAAGTCGACACTCAATGAATTATTGACTATTCTAAAGCTATTATTAACTGTATTGATTGATCTTTGAGTGTTACTACTATCCAGCTCCATAATCCATATCAGTATAAATGGTCATTGGATTTTCCGAGTGGGAGTGCGGGTATTTTTTTCTTGGCATCAGGGTTTTTCCATGGAGGTGTTTGATTAATCATTTAATTTTTTAAGGTTAAATAATTAATGAAAGTCTAAAGGTATATAGTTTGCTAACTAATAATAGACGTGCCCTTTTGGCATGCAAACATCTGAAGGCTCAAGTTATTTCAGAATAAACCATTTTCAGGTCGCAGAAATTTTGATTGCATGATTACCATTATTTTCATAAAATCTTGATAATAGTGTGATTACCTGACAAATAAATAGTACAAATTTGCTGAGAATCTTGAATAAGTTATTTCCTTTTGTTATGAAAAGTTACTTTTCTACTATGGTTTATATTTAAACTCCACAAGATAAGAGATAGGAAGATGTGGAAGTATTGCCAAGTAGACAGCTATCCAACAAAGACCACAGTACAAGGATTTGAACAAATACAGGTCACGAATGTGTTACTGTTGTATTTAATGCAATTGAAATATATTTTTCTACTATAAGCGTACTTCAAAGTCTAAAAAGAGTTCGCTCTGTCTTTATTAATGCACAGTACCGTTGCTTTCTGTCGTTTTCTGTACTTTACATGGCTAATTATGCTATACATTTGTAATATAAAGGTCATTGACCGGGTTAATGAAAATTACTAAGGACTTAGATGGTTGGGTGTATGATATTGCGTAGTCCTATGGTGGGTTAATGAAGAGGTCCTTATTTGCGACATCCTCTATAGGAATTTAAACCGTCCTTACAGTTAATGAATAAAAGTTTTCCATGTTTATTTTTTGTAGTGAAATTTATTTGGGGAAATGTTTGCTCAAAAATGAAAATAATTCCAATAGTAGAACATTTCATTTTCATAATTCATGCATGCAATTAATGACTTTTACAAATCTATAGCTGGTTACAGATGTTAAAGAAAATTATATTGTGATTGTTTTTTTATCTTGCTTTGGAAAAGATTATTTTTTCCAATTCTTACTAGGCCAGAATATTCATTTCCAAAATCCTCATGCCTTCCTTTTCAAATATCATATGATTATCCCCCAAGTGAAAGTAACAAGATCATTAAACTGTACTCCACTGCAAACCAATCAGCCTTTTTATAACTAGCTTGTGAAAAAACTCAATGTTTCTTTATTTCCCGAAAGTGACTGTTCTAAATAATTGCCCTTTAAAGCATTATGTTGTCTATCGACAAGTTTTTGTTTTATTATTCTATTATATATATATATAATATAAAAATGAAGAACCGCATATTTATCTTACACAAATAGGGATATCTTTAGTTTTCATTAAATTGCTTTTTTAACACACCTTAATTGATACATACGTTTTGATTGTAAATTTTCGTTTCTAAATTATGTAATTTGTACTGAAATTAAGGTTATGACTCTTCTTGTTGTTTCGTTATTCTGAAGGTTAATAATGTAACACGTGTCGTGTGATTTTAAATAAGCTTCAAATGTTTATAGTAAAAATGCACAATAGAAAACATTTAGGAAAAAATTATCACGTAGTTGGTACATAAAAAATAATATATGCATTGACTGTCTACTGTTTTTGTATAGTCTGCAACAGCGCATTTTCATGTTACAATCATCATTCATTTTGATTTAGGTTAGGTCAAGTATCATTCATTATTGATTGTTTTTCTTGTATCTTTCATATTGACAATATCAAAATAAAAATAAAATGAAATGTAAAATATAGTTGTACAAGCTGTACACACTTCATTGTGGCATTATCCTTGCCCCCTCCCCCCACCCCAATCCAACCCCAAAATAATGAAAAGTCTTTATAAATTTACAAACATGAGGCTTCATGATCGCACTCCTTTGTTAGACAATATATCTATGAGATTTACATCTATGGTTAGACCTACCCATCAATCTAACATTCAATTACATAATGCGGTTATCCATAAGTTATGTGTTTCGCTCAAACCTCATTATTACGATTTGATTCAATTTCATTTTTTGTGTTGAGTTCTCTCATCCTAAAGATAATGACCATTAAATCTATCATTGTCTGTTAATGCAGCAAAGTTAAACCAATAAATACTTAAATACTCATTAGATTTAACATTCTATGTAAATATTAGCAATACGTTCTGCAGATCAATTTGGAATATCATATTGCGTAGAAGTCTACGTCAGTCTGTTATGACGTATCAATTTGTCGGCAGTATTTCTGGTTAACCACTATTTATAATATTATGCATTTATTTATATTCCATTTATAGCATGCAATGTTAAACCTGTTCATAGCAACTGAATGCTGCAGATATCCTTCAACAACGTGAACAGAAAACTTATTTACTATGTACATAATAACTATACAGTTCGTTCTACAATGACATGACTAACATTTCATGAAATTTTAAATTCGGTAGTATCAAAGACGGAGAAGCATTAGGTTCAAAAATGTTTCTATACTTTAAGATATATTAAGATATCATAAACTTGTATACACTTCAAACATTTGTAATCCAATTTAAAGATTTGCAACTGACTTTAAAACGTATCTCTAAAACAAGATAAAGTTACAAAGAAGAGAAAATGTCCTATTAAAAACAACTAACAAAAACAGAACAGAGCTGATTTAATGTTTGAATAGCACCTAGTTATTATTGCAGAATTGAAATAGATACCATTGCAATTTTTATTGAAACTTCATAACGAAAAAAAAATAGACGTAATGGGTAGAGGCATGTTTTATGACGTCACATGGACCCTTTGCATCGGTAAATGCCAAATTAAGAAGATCCCAACAAAGTGTGACGTGTGTCATTGTTTTGTGATTTTGTTATTTATTTTGAATCATTAAAAACGGTGTCTTTAAATTAAAAGAAAAAAGTCCTTACCTTCATTTAACTTTCACGTTGTAAACACAAACTCACAATATACACAAAGCATGGACAACTTATTGATCTAACACCCACGCAATCCCATTATCAACAGCCGAAGAAAATTACATTCATTTTCCTTTTTATCAGTAGCAAATTTCCAATATAAATCAGAAAATTTGTATATTGTTATTCCCGAGTTTTCTGTGTTCACTGGATACATACTTTATATTCGATAGTCAGTCTCGCCTTTATTCCTTACTATGACTAAACCTCTAGTGTTAATGATAGTAGAAGATTCTTTTATCTTTCCACAGATATTGTACAACAAGCTCTTCCAATCTTTATTTTTACAATTTGTTTCTATTTTGAGACTATAACTCATCATTTTGTTTCTATTATTAGTCTCTATAATCACGAAAATATGTTTTATGTTTAAAACATCTATTTCTCGTTTAATTATATTCTAAAGATAAGTAGATATTCTAGTCTTTCGTGCATTCACTTCGTTCTGTTTATAGCGTTGCCTGAAGTTATGGATATTTTTATTTGTACACTTACTTTACATGGGCAGCTGTACAGATGAGGTAAGGTCATATACAAAACTAAACTGAAATAAAAAGGTGTACTTGGTATATACTCTCCACAAACTTTGTTCGCCTTTCCAAACGTTTACTTTGATGTTTGCAACAAAATACAAAAACTTTCTTTAAAAAATAATTAAAAAAATTGTTTTGCGGTAAATCTGCTATGCTGCCTATGGGACAGGCAATTAAGTCTTCTTCTTTGTTTGCCTTGGAGTGGGGTTATGAAAAGATTATCAGATATGGACAGTATACATCTGTTCCTCGGTTAAAATAAAAACAAGAATAGATGTTCTGATTTGGATATTTATGCGTTTTATAGTATCGTTACTTTGAAATTTAAAGAAAAATCTGACTTTTCGTTGTATTTTTTGTAAAACGATACACAAGCTTGAACCCGAATTTATCCTAAGATATAATAAATATGAAAAACAGTTAAACCAATTCATGAAAAACATTTATCTACAAGCGAAAGAATAAGTCAGATAAGGTTGAAAGTGAGAAAATACCATGTTATTGTACAAAGGGGTCGACATTATTTTTGCAGAAATGATTACAAAAATCGGCACACAATTTCGAATACAAGAATTTAGTATTCAAATATCTGCAAAGGAATTCTAAATTTTAATCTTAAATAAATGGTTTGATGAGAAAACAATACTATAAACTCAAGACCAATAAATATGATTAAAAATGACATGCATTTTTTTTTTATTAAAATTAAAAAATTAAAAACTCAGTCAATATAAAAATGGAAAAATCTGTGGCTACCCCAAACTGCAAATGCAATATAAAAATAAGGAGATTTACAATGAAACAACTATCTACCAGAGACCAGAGTACGTGTATATATGTACTATTGGTCAAAAACTAGCAAAACCCATCCACCAGATTAAAAAAAAAACGTATAGTAAGCTATAATATGCCCCGTCATTACAAATGTATAACAATTCATACGAGAAAAACCAACGCCATGTTCAGTAATGTTTACATCTTTTAACAATAAAATCAATGTTAGAACCGATAAAGACAATATTCAAAGATCTTGCTTCAGTGCTATACTGATTGCGCTTAAATAACATTTGTTCAAATGATCAATAAGTTACAAGGACCGTATTTATATTTACGGGCTCTGTAAACAACATCATCGTAAAAATTAAGATGTGATGTCCCGTTTGTAACGAGGTTACCATAGTTATAGCAAAACTTCCAAACCAAATCTTTCTATCTATGAAATAATTTATGAAGCGTTTAAAGTAATTTATGGTCACTAAATCCTGGACTTAATAATTCAACAGTTTTGTATATATAGAGTACGTTCATTGAACTCTTAAACGTCACTAAAGACATGGACATAGCGAACGAGTTGGGAAATATGCATACCTTAAGAAGGGGCCAACTGAACATCACCGTGTAAAGAAAAAAAAAACTATTACCAAAGGAAACGAAAAATCGTCTCTTTTGTTATATTTTTGGATATCCAAATCTAAGAGAACGATTAGTGTTTCCACATTATAACTTTAGAATTCCTGATTATAAAAGGAAAAATTTCATCAAGGAACGGTGAGTGTTATTACATTTTTAAATTAAATGGAATTAAGACGATTCTTTACTGAGTTTAGCCATAAACCATAAAGGAATTCGTCTGCTTTTTAAATTTGCACAATGTGTGCCCATAGAAATACCTATAACATGTCGATACACTTTTAAACATAAATGTTGTCAAGGAGAAGATTTTAACAGCTTTAAACCATTCATAACAGTTGCAGTAAGTTTACTTTTTGCATTACAAAAGAAGGCTTTATATGAGTTGCAGCAAATACATTTACAATCCGATTCAATGGAACATTTTATCAAATAAAAAAACTTATGTTTGATAATATTGTGTGGAAATGTTGTGTAGAGCTTAGAAAAGTCATAACTGTCAACCATGTTTGATACTATTGTGTGGAAATGTTTTACAGAGCTTAGAAAAGTCATAACTGTCAACCATGTTTGATAATATTGTGTGGAAATGTTGTGTAGAGCTTAGAAAAGTCATAGCTGTCAACCTTGTTTGATAATATTGTGTGGAAATGTTGTACAGAGCTTAGAAAAGTCATAACTGTCAACCATGTTTGATAATATTGTGTGGAAATGTTGTGTAGAGCTAAGAAAAGTCATAACTGTCAACCAAATTAAAAGGAAACTCAAAACACGATATTTATCTTTCACAGCCACAGAGTATTTTACACTCTAAAATAATTATTACATTCATTTCATATACTTTATACAAAGGTTAATAATAAGTTCCTTAAAGTAGGGAATAAGTTAAAAGAACAAACGGATTATTTGTAAAACACATTTAAAAGCCGAGATGAAAATATATATTACGGGATCGTTTTTTAAAATGCAGCCAGTATATATAGTAAGGACCTTCTTATGTTTTGATCAGGCCTGTAACTGAGATGTTGTAATGATATTGTTGTGGATTACACTGCTAAACCCTTTTTAATTCTCTGCCGTAGTTGACGATGTCGTTCTACCTGCATCAATACCAACGAAAGCCCCCGTTCGTCGCTATATACTGAACACACACATATATTAATCAAAATAATTAAAAGACTCGTGATTCACCAAAATTAAAACTTACAATTTCACCAATACTTGTATGATTTCATCGACAAATCTAAATTGTTGTTCATATTTATCTATTTGAGCCTTTTTAGTATCAATCCCCCTCATGGGTATGAAGGAAAATGAAATGATTGAATGTTTACTACAATTTTGATTTATTATACAAATAAGATGTGGTATGATTGCCGATGAGACAACTCTCCACTAGATACCAAATGACCTGTTAATTATAACTTTTGTTCATTTTTTTCCCTCGCTCTCTCGATTCTATTTATAACTTTGTGATAGTTTGTTGTCATTCACATATGACTTTCCATTCTACTGGAGAACCTCTACGAAGTGGAAAAAATATTTGAAAAACAATATTCATCTTGTTAGTGGTTGCAGTGTTCGTGTTTTTTCCTGTGTGCTTTTAGATAAGAGAAAGGGAGAGATTTGTGAGCACATACAACTCTTTAAACTACTGCTGCCTGACGCCTCCACATATTGTGCCTGTTTAAAGTCAGGCTATCTGACCGTGTTTGCTCGTTGTTGTTTTACTTTGTTTGTATGTCTGCTTTATTATTTGAACATTAGTATTTTCTTCTGATATTTGAAAAACGTAATTTATACGTCAGATGACTGTAAAATATCCTCGAAAAGTAAAGTTTCTGAGAAATTGAATGAACGTATGTCATAAGTACATACATTTTATACGTTGAAGATGGTGTAGTTTCTGAATGATCACATGAGAAGTCAATAGAATCTAAGAGATTTTTCCATCACATGATATTTTAATACACCACGCACTTCAAGTCACAGTCTAGAACATTTATTTGTCCTTTTATACTACCATATTTGTTAGATTTTTACTTTCAAGCAGAATTAGTTATACGTCATTGTTTAAAAATTGTGATTTCAAAGAGGTAGGGTCAATTTCCCATGATTTTAATTATATCAAAGGGTAAAAAATCAGAAAGTTAAAATGTATACTGGATATGAATATTAATGAATTTAAATAATACATATTACAATAATTCTTCACATATCTATAAAGTCAAAATGTTTTTTTAAACACTATACAATTTTTTTGAAGAACCTTTTGACACAATATCGCAAATTGTACATGTTTTTGTAAACTTTTACATTGAAGGAAGCCCCAATATAATTTGTATCTAAAATAAACCAATACACAGTTTTGCTTCAAACAGATTTTATATGTCTCTGGTTTAAGTACATCCACCTTCAAAATTTGCGAAAATCTACCAAAAAGCAGTTTGCAGCCATCTTGAGGCATTTAAAATTTAGATACACGATCAGAAATACACCAAAAAGTTGTAAGAACCTCAATAATCACATAACAATCTGTTATGACTTTTTGTAAATGACCCCTCTGTAAAAAAGATTGGCCCAACCTTTTTATTTTCAAAGAAATTAGTCTAATTTTAAATAAAATTATTTTCTAAACTCGAACTATAGAAGACAAAAAGAATTTTGCTATTTTATAGATTCGATTATATGAATGTCTGGTAGTTATAAATATTTTGGTGAAGTTTAATACATTTGCAAGAGTTGTCTTCCATACCAAAGGTCTACCCCCTAAATAAACCAGTTTGTTAAATCTAATGAATTAATGGTCATTCCATCTTGATTTCAGTGCATACAAGAGTCAGTTTCTTTGTAAAGCAGCTGTTTTCTGACAACCATTTTCTTTCCATTAACAATCCAAACTTTTCCGATTGGGTTCCATTAATATATCTTCTAGAACTAGAAATTAAAGAAACAAAAGACACGGCTTCCTCCGCCTCATTTTTAGACTTATACCTCGAGTTTGACATAAGCGGTCATCTCAGTACCACAATCTATGACAAACGAGACGGTTTTAATTTTGAAATTATAAAAAGTAAAATAACAAAAATACCGAATCCAAGGGAAATTCCAAACGGAAAGTCCTTTATAAAATACTCAAACACATCAAACAAATGGCAAACAACTGCCATATTCCAATACACATTTGGATGATGCCTTGAAAACCTCATAACCAACCATATGACCATAGCACAATTGTGCAATGGCGGGACGTACGTATAAATAACGAGCCACGCCAAAAGTATATTACAAAAAAATGACTAAACGGTAAGGTTAAAAACATAC